ACTTGGAGCTGCTTGAGACTAGGGCGATCGAGCACGGTTTCAATCAGGTTATTGTTAAGACCACGTACAACTTTTGGAGGGGGCCCCGCATCCTCAGGCGCTGAGGCACGTACAATGCGAACCCCTACTTTGCCCAGAGTGGCCTCCCAGCGGGGGGCATTTTCAACGACCTGTTCGTGCGGGTCTACAGCGTTGGCGCCTTCGATCGTTTTTGCAGCAGCCATGCGCAGGTTGCCCTTTTCCTCGCACGTTGACGACGATGCCCTTGCGATTGAGGGCAGCGCGGAGGCCGAGGCTCTCGAGAAAATGGTGCCAGCCTGTGCTAGTATGTTTGTGATTTTTAGGGGTGAGCTTAAAGTTGGTCTGCAAGGTGACAAACTCACCACCCTCGGAAATTCCTTAGGCATTGCCAAGAAACTTGGAAGGTTGCTTGGGCAGATGGCTGGCACCGTCACGAATAGCGCTGTCAGCCCGGGAACGGATTTTGCTCCAGGACAGAGGCGATCGACCAAGCATGCTCTCTATAAGCGTAAGGCCAGGTTTAGGTGCATATATAAAAGGCACAAGGTGTCACAGAGATATCGTCGTAGTTTACCCAGGCAGAAGGGCCGCATCGGAAAGATATACGTGGCTGGCCTGCAGCCTGCTGCCACGTTCGCTTCGGCGATTGTCGGCATGAGTGACCACGAGTTACAACAGGCTCGTCGTGTCATGCCGTCGCATCGTGCCCCTCGCCATCGGGGGTGCTCGCTCACCACGAAAGTTTGTTTCGGAGGGGGCCCGGTCTGGAGGGCGGGCGACTGGGCTCACATTGTTTGGCTTGCGGTCACGGATCCCGCCACGTCTCATTATAACGTCAAGCAGGTTTGTCAGATGTGGTGCGCGGTGCCGTTCGATAGCCAGGTTAGTTGGGGGAACTCCCGAGGGCCGATTCAACGCGTGCACTTGTCGTTACTCAGAGTTGGACGGTGCGCCACATCTGCCCTCACGTGGGAAGACGACTATGGCAGAGAGATTCATGTGGTCTATACGTCTCCGCCCATGGTCGGGCACTTGCTGATGTTAGCCACCCAGCGTGGTCATGAACGCAAGCTGGCCGCGCTTTCCCAGTCTTTCCCTGGGGGCCGCGTCGTCGTGGACCCGCTCCAAAAACTCCTTGGCCCCAGGTCCAAAAAGCTCTCTCAGCGGGAAAAACACATGGCCATTTCGTGTTTCTGTGGAGGCGCATGGACCCGTGCACGAGCACGAGCCTCAGGGTACGCCAGCGCCGGACGTTGCCCATTTTGCGGACAACCCGACTCGGTTAGGCACAGAGCCTGGCACTGCCACCACCCTGAAGTAGCAGCTGTGCGCCTCGAAGTTGCCGGTGATAGTGCAGGGTGGCTGCAGGAGGCAGCCGAAAGTGATTGCAGGAGCTTTTGGGATGAGCTGAAGATGGAACACCCTGAAAACGGCTACCCCCCCCCCCCCCCCCCTCTCAGTGACCCCAACCCCCACCTCTTCAACCCGCAGAAGGAGGACGTGCCTTGGGGGAGTATTGACTTAAGAGGATGCGATGTTTGCATGGATGGATCGTGCGCACGCCACTCAATCCGTGAACTTCCAAGGGCCGCTGACGCATGGATCTTTTTTGGCCCTGATGAGGACATTATTGCCTATGCCATAGGAACCGTCTGGGACGTCCTGCCCCAGACCCCGCAGGCGGCGGGGCACCAGGCAATGTCTTTGATCCCGTTCTTTGTGCCATACTCTGGAATATAATACAACGACTGTATGACGGTAGCGAAGTTATGTGCTACTGATCCTGCGCACCAAGTAGATCGGCGCCATCGGCATGCAGGAATGAGGAGAGGAGCTCTTTTACACGAGGAGCGGGATCACGTGCCCGAAGTGCGTCATCGACTCCCTCCCAGACAGAGAGAGAGAGAGAGAGATAATAATTGCCGTGGGGAATTGGAACGCAGACGCCCTCGCCAAGCATTCCCTCTCCCTCCACCCTTCTCCTTTTCCCCAGTTTTCGGAGGTGCTGAATATTTCCTTGGGCAAATTAGCTTTTGCGGCCCGTGTGCTGGCCAGGGTTCTCTGTGTGTCCCCGAGGAAAGAATTCGAGCGCCCCCCCCCCCCCTCCCCCCAGGACCGCGGGCAAGGTTCCTCAAGTCTGGGGGTTGCACTGTTGGGAGAAGCGAGAGGACGGCAGAGCCAGATGTATAAGATGTTTTCTGCTCAGCAGAGATGATGGGACTCGTCCTTTGCTTGGCTGCCCTGGGCCGAGCAAAACCTGGAAGGGCGTTTTCAGTTCTGACATGGGCCATGCGTTGGCCCACACTGTTGTCACCAGATCTGATTATAACGACAGATCGAGCGAGGCCGTTTTGTATGTCTGCACGACATGTGGCGCGTACGCCACAAGACGCTTCTTTTTGTTGGGTCGCGAATGCCAGCAACGCAAGATTGCTGGATCGACGATTGCGTTGAAGAGAATTTATTCTGGCCTCCACCCTCACTCGCGCGAAAACTCCGCGCGAGTGACCCAGTCGTCGAGGCGAGGAGTGCGGCACATGCAGTATGCAGTTAATTTACCCCCTCCCCAAGAGGTAGGTCGTCTGAGCGCGAGGCCAGACAGCCTCCCACAGACCCCTCGAATGCTGGCCCTCCTGGGACGAGTTCGGGAGAAGGAAAAGGCAGCTTCTGAGGCTGCCCCAGCAAGATAAACAGGCAACCTTGGCCCTGCCCCCCTGGGGGGAGGGGAAGAAAAGAAATTGCTGCATTTGTTGAATAATACGAAAAACTAATGTGCGCGGCGCTAAGGCGAGAGCCACATTTTGAAAACCACCCGCCCTCCATCTGTGAAGCTGTTGTCACTTATGAGGAAGTCTCAGGCGAAACGCCCGGCCCGCCTTAAAAACTGGCCTCGGATGGTGCGACAGGGAGGAGTTATGTATAACAAGAAGGAATGGAAAAGGTCCGCGATGCCATGCGCACCGTCTGCTTGAACCACGCGTGCTTGACCCCCCCCCCAGCGGAAAGCCGAGGAGGGATCTGGCGCTCTCCGGACGGGTCCTCGCCTTCGAGGATCCAATGATCGGCGGCGAGCGAGAGGGGAAAGCGAGGAGGAGACCGCCTTCTCAGAAGGCGGCGGAGCTTCTCAGAAGCCCCCAGCCTTCTGAGAGGTTTAGTGCTTCTTGTGTCTTCGGGGGGGGGCGTAGACTTTTGACAACTTGTCAGAAGACTGGGGGGGCTTCCGAGCCTGCTGAGGTGCCCCGTCCCTTCTCACTCACACACCCCGCGCTCGCCGCCAAGAGGAGCTGGCGCCTCTTCCTCGGCGGGAGGCAGCGGATGACCGCGGAAGTGCAGCGAAGCCGCCTCCGCTGGCGGAAGGCCTGCGGAAGCCAGCGGAGGCAACACGTGCACCCCCAAGAGATGGCGAGCCTTCTGAGTGCAGGGCTTCGGGAACCCGCAACATGGAGGACATCTACAATCTACGATCAGAATCGCAGGCGGTTTTTCTCCCCCCTATCCCCTCATTCCGCCCGCAGAGTTTGGCGGTTCAGACATGAGGGGGGAACTCTTGGATACACCCCCGGGGGGCTATCCGGAGGCACCCCTATCGAGGATGGACGCCCATCCATTGTACATCCTAGGGTTGGGCCCCAAAAGTTTCTGGTCCAGTCGAAAAAATCCTTCAGATTCGGGGAGTGGGGTCGCTGCATCCCCCGTCACAGAAATTGTTGCTCAGCGTGTCGTTCCGCCTTGCAGCCGCCGTCAGCAGCCTGCCTCCACTCGCCGGCCTGGTCGCCGAGGTGCCGTGTGAGGCTTCGGCCCATTGGCTTTAGGTTAATTCGTCTTTGCGCGCCCCGCTCTGACTGGACACGCCGTCGGCGCCTTCGCCTGCGGCCGCTGACTAAAAAGTGTCGTTCCGCCAGCCCTGGCCCACCACGCGCCGGCGCGGCCCGCCGACCACGCCCCGGCCCCCGAGCGCCAACGGCCCGCGCACGCCTCACAGCTTCCTGCCTGGTGGAGCGGCGCGACACGCTGTCCTTCCGCGGGGCGCGGCGTGGCGCCGGGGCCGCCGCCGCCGCCGCCGCGGCACGCGCCCAGCAGAGATTCCCGACGGCATGCGCGTCCACAGGGCCAGCCGAGGCGCACCGCCGCGCCCCAAGAGCCCCGACGGCGCGACTTCTGTCACTCCGTCGGCCCCCAGAGGTCTGAACCCCTTTCCCCAGGACCGGCTGCTCACCCTGAACCGTGTTCTGACGGTCCTGGGGCTCGGTGAGGCCCAAGGTCCTTGAGATCCGACGTTGCGACAAAAATTGCAGCATCGTGAAAAATCGCGACGGGAGCCCCGGACCCAATTTTTCCTGCGTCATTTTTCGAACCGGATCGACCCGTGGGGGTCCCGAGGCCCGAAGAAAGTCGAGACCCCAAGATCTCAGGGGTCCTGGGGCCCCGGCCTTGGGGGGAGGAGGTGGAGGAGGAGGAGGAGGAGGAGGAGGAGGAGGAGGAGGAGGAGGAGGAGGAGGAGGAGGAGGAGGGGGAAGAGGAGGAGGAGGAGGAGGAGAGGAGGAGGAGGAGGAGGAGGAGGAGGAGGAGGAGGAGGGGAGGAAGGAGGAGGAGGAGGCGGAGGAGGAGGAGGGGGAGGAGGAGGGGGAGGAGGAGGGGGAGCAGGAGGAGGAGGAGGAGGAGGAGGAGGAGGCCCGGTGAGAAACCTCCTGTCGTGATCTCCCCACAGCGCGAGGGGGCCTGGGCCCGCCGCTCCCTGCTCGGGGCGCCTTCCGGGCGCCACCGGCGTCAGCCTTGTCTTAAGTCGGGCCTGTCCCCCTACAGGGGGATTGTCGACGAAAGCTAAAACATGTCCCAAACATATTCCAAAATGATTGTCAAAACATTCCGAAACATTGTCCACGAACTATTTTTGACTATTTTTGAACATTCCCCCTGCAGAGGGACATGCCCGACGTAAGCCTTGCCCTGCCCTGCCCCCCCCCCCCCCCCCGGGGCAGGAGGGCAGCCCTGGGCGGCAGCGGCGGGGGCGGTGCCGCCGCCGCCGCCCCCGCCGCCGCCACCGCCACCGCCGGCGGGCGCACCGGGGCCAGCGCCAGCACGAGGATCCCAGGAGGGGACAAACACACACACACACACAAACACACAAACACACACACACACACACACACACACACACACACACACACACACACACACACTTTTTACCAGCGCAAGAGGAGCCCAGTGGCAAGGAGGGGAGGGGCGACGACGACGAGGGACGACGGGGGGGGGGGGGGGGACGCGCGCCGGAGCCCGCCGGGGACGCCCGCCGGGGCCCGCCGCGCGCGCACAGACACAATTCATCGTCGATGCCCCCGAAAATTGGCGCAGATCTCGGGAGGTGGGGGGGGCACAAGAACCCTGAACATATGGGAAGAGACAGGGAATCCTGCTGTTTGTGTCTATTTATTTGTGTGTCCCAGGGCCCCCTGAGGATCAGGGGCCACGCTGAGAAAGGATGTGCTCAGGGCCCTGAGATCGGCGTCGCCCTCGCATACCAAAACTATGTGTGCGTCGCACCCCCAGGGGCGACGCGCGCACCGAGAAGTTTTAACTATAGTAAATGCGTCGTGGCGGGCGCTTTCTGGCCACAGTGCTCGGGAAACGATCTACTACAAGATGATCTAATATGTGTTCGGGTCGGACGCGCGCCTCTAATGAAATATATATTGTACTCGTATGTACTTGTGCGTCCCATGATCTGCTGGCGTGTAATTTTTGCGAGCTGGGCGTTTTCGTTTTTGCTCGGGCCCCAGGTGCTGCCGAAAGATGGGGTTTAGGGCTCGGGGCGCGTTGTTTTTGTACGATGCTGCCTTTTTTTCGTTGCGCCGGATCTCAGTCCTGGACACTATAACCCGCGCATGTGGCTCAAGGCCTCGCAGTATTGGCCCAAGCACGACCACCCCCCAGCACGCACTGCACAGCACAGCACAGCACAGCACAGCCCTCGGCCGCGCCGCCGCAAAGTGCTTGCGATCGCGGGTAAACCAAGGATTTTCCGGTTCCTGCCATCGCGAGCGCAGCCATGGCGCAGCGCAGCAGCACGGCGCAGCGGCCGAGAACGCGAGCACGGACCTGACCCAGGCCATCGGCGACCTCATGACTGAGCCGACGGTGCCGCCTGCCGAGGCCGACACCGAGATGACCTCTCTAGCTCCTCCAGGTCACGCCCCCGCGTGGCCAGACGACCTCCTCCAGGAGTTGATCGAGGATGACGTGTTGCAGCACGTCGGTTTCGTCCAGGCCAGCGCCTTGACGCAGCATGGTGAGCTCCTCGCCCTCCCCTTCACGCCCCCCACCTCCTGGGGCGACTTGCAGCGTTTCCTCGCCAAGCTCGCTTTCGACCACAACACGGCGAACCCTTGGCGGGCACTGGGCTTCGGACCCCTGGACGGCCCAGAACCCACCGAGCACAGCATCGTCTCCCGCGTCAAAGTGGCCTTGATGCTCTGCTCTCCGGACTCTTTGACCGAGTGGGCGCAGGCGGACCGCGACGCGGCGGGGCTGGCCTCGCATGCCTTTGCGACGGCAGGCGCGCGCTGTGAGGAGCAGTTGCCCGACATCCTGAAGGAACGCCGGCGCCTCCGCCCCCCCAAGCTGCCCCTGTGGAAGGAGTTGGGCGCATCGGCCTTGAAGGCCCTGCGGGCAATCTCTGCTTGCCAGCATGCTTCGTTTGCTACGCAGTGGTCCCAAGTACTAGCCCCTGCGAGTGAGGATCACAGCGCGACGATCACCGAGCACCGGAAATTGGCCGACCTCCTGGAGAAAGGCGACCCTAAGGCCATCAACGCAATGGGAAACCAGAAGATCGTCGTCTGGGCCCCCAGTGACCAGAGCTCTTTACAGCGTATCTTGAGTGCCCTACTTCGTGAACCTGACCCTCTCCGTCGTCCCCTCAGCCTCACATTTCTCGCACCCGTACCTTCATTTCCTGGGGTGGACTGCCCCGGTGAGCTCTTCGACCTCTGGTGGCACCCCATGTTGAGCGAGAAGCGCGCGCCCTTGGTCAAGCAGGTGGACTTGGTGCTCCAAACAGTGGAGTACATTCTTCCGGGTCGATCTGCGCCGCGGCATGTGCAGCAGGGTCTGGCGGCTTTCACCATCGATTTCATGAGCAATCGATCCCAGCCCAAGGTGCACGTGCCGAGGGCGCCAATGCTACAGCTCCCTGCCGTCAACTCCCTGTGGGTCGATCTTCCTTCGGACATGCTGCCGGGCTTCTTGCAGACGATGCACACCGACCAGATCAAGAGCAGCCCGGTCCGTTTTCTCTGCCGGGCTGCAAGCCGGAGCCTCGGGAGCTCTCAGTTGGAGCGCCGCCTCACTGTCGAAATCTTGCTCCCGACGGTGCTCAGCCATCTTGCTACTCGGCTCTCACGCCTCATCGGTCACAGGGACCTCTACACATCTAGCTCCAATGGCTCAGAGCCCCGAATCATCAGGGGTAACTCGGGTCAGGGCTAACTCGGGTTCCTTTTTCGGGAATCCAAACCCGAGTTACCCCGGACCCGAGTTACCCCGGATAACTCGGGCGCCCAAATGGCCCGATGGCGATGAACCACGCCGGCCCCCTGCGCTCCCAGGCGATCTTCCTGGCGCCGACACGCGTGCTGCTGCATACCGCCGCCTCTGTCGAGACCTGGTCCCAGCTAGTGGACTCCACGTTGAAGGAGGACGAGGCGCACGCCATCACGAGGCTGAAGTGGAGGGCCAGCCGCTTCGGAGGGCGCCCCTGGGTCACACCAACGGCCACGCCCATGGCGCTGGCGGCTTCCAGGCGCCGGAGGGGACGCGGTCCGCTGGCTTCCCCCTGGTTGACAACGTCGCCGAGCTTAGCGTGCGGGGGGAGCTCGGTGAAAGCGACGGTCTGGTGTTCAATTCGATCCTGCACCACGCTTGCACGGCCACTGGGTTGGAGCTGCAACCCGCTCCGGAGAATAGCGCTCCCCAGCCTGGCCAGTGGATCCACCTGGCGTCCAGGGATTCCACTGCCCCACCAGGTCGGGCGAGAATTTACCTCCGGTCCCAGGACGAGGTCCGGAAGATCTTCAATGCGTTGGACGGCCAGCTGATCCAGGTGGGAGCGGACTTCTTGGCCGTCACCGTGTCGAATGACGTGATGGCCTCCGCTGCGCTGTCGGGAACGGCCGGCGGGGGGGTGCTCAAGGGGCCGCCCCTCCCGCCACTGCGTGATGCCCCCCTGCGGGGAGTTGGGAATTCAGGCATATGAGTGCATGGGCGCCTCCAGCTGGTTCATCGACGTCGCCTTCGACCTCCACCTCGCTGCGGCGAGGTCGAGTTCCCAGTGCCACGACGACTCCAGCGACATGATGCCATTTTTGCACCCGTCGTCGTCTATTTCTTCGTCGTCCCGTTCTTCTCCATACAGTCGGCCTGCAGACCGTCTTCGGCCTGGAGTGCCAGCTATCTCCCTTGCTGAACTTTTTTGCACTGCGCAGTACGCGCCCGAAGCGGATGTCCCATTTCACATTATTGGTCAACGTGCTCTGCGAAGCTTATTTGGCCGCTCTCCGACATCTTCGTCACCTCCCTCAACTCGTTCACCCTTGCCCCACTCTTACCAGGTATCGGATGCGCACGCCTGTGTTCTAGCCCCAGAGGCGCAAGCTACCGCCGCGAGGATCTCAGCGTCTACGACGTCGCGCGCCGGCCCTGTAGTCGCCGCCGATTCCCACGGGCAGGCAGTCCTTACCTTGGGGAGCTTTCCGTGGTCACCTGGAATTGGCAGGCGCTGTTCGCCGCCAAGGCGGAGCGCCATCGCGACAAGGCAGCGTACGTTCGGAAACTTATGGCATCCCACGACATCGGCCTGTGGACGGAGACGCACGGGAGTGCGGGTGGCAATGCTGTCTGGCGCAATCCTGCCGACTGCACTTCTTGGTGGTCTCCAGAGACCAGTGCTGCGAGCGCTGGAGTGGGCGCCACCATCAGGAACACTTTCCTCAAGCAGTTCAGCCAGGCCCCGCATTGGCAGGTGCTCTTGCCCAGTCGAGCCGCGGTCTTGCACTTGCGCGGCGCTGCGGGGCATTTGGATGTTTATGTCACTTATTTCCACACTGGTCGAAACGTCGACCTTTTCGACGTGGAAGCTGCAGGACTCCAACATCTCGGTCGCCTGCCCTCGTTTCCAGAACTTCGGGGCGCACTCCGACGGCGGCTCAATCAGCACGTGGCTCCTCAGGACGAGGTGCTATCCATCGTGGGCGGCGACTTCAACTACGCCCCCGATTCATGAGACCGGCGATGCGCTACGTCTGGGGACTCGACCGGGCACCGGGACAAGAGGGAGGATACTTCTTGGCGGAACTTGTTGGAGATGCCCCACCGCCTCCACGAGATGCATCAGCCCGACATGACGTACGCCTCCCCGAACTCCCGGTCCAGACTCGACCGCATCTACTGCAACCAGGACGTGGTGGAGGGTTTCGACCGACATTTGTCCAGTGCGGTATTGGAGTGGTGCCCCAAACTATCTCGCCACAGGGCGGTCAGCTTTCGGCGCGCACTTCCTCGCCGGGCTCCCGTGGATGCTGCTCCTCTCACTGATGACGCAGTGGACCATCCAGACTGGCCTCGCACGGTGGCGTTGGCGTGGCAGGATATCTTGTCGCAGGAGGAGGGGCCGTGCTCCCCGCTCACGTGTTTGTTGTGTTTGAAGCAAGCCATGCGGACGGCAGCACGGTCATTATCTCTCTCGGCGTCCGCCACCGGGGCCCCAGTCTCGAACGAGGACCGCCTCGGCGTCACCATGGAGTTCTTGCGGGCCAGTGAGCAAGGGCATGCCAGCGGAGTCTCGCAATGCTTGCTCAGGTACCCGCTTCTGCAGGACTTGGTGGACAACCCGTACGACTTCGGCCCCGCTTGCGGCAGCCGGCTCCGCCTCGTTCGATTGCACGCGGCAGAGCTGGCCCGGAGCCACGCCATGGACGAGCTCAATTCCCTCCACGACGACCTTGCGAACCTGTCCGAGGAGCAGGCCGCTCGCAAGAGGAAGCGCAACCACCGCTTGTTGCAGCGACTTGCATCGGGTCGTTGTTGCACGAATTACGCCCTTTGTGACAGTCAGGGCCACGTGAGTTCCGCCCCAGAGCACGCGGCCAAGGTATTGCGAGAGCGCTGGGCAAAGGTTTTCCGCAAGCGGGATACCAACGGGCCATTGCGGCGGGCATGGCTGGAAGAGGAGATTCGCCACCTCCCGTCTGACCTCGCCAGACACATTCCGGGCGACGTGGTCCCGTACACCGAGTTCGAGAAGGCGATCGGTAACACCAACGATAGCTCCCCGGGGCCCGACGGCATTCCGTTCAAGGCATGGCGTCGGCTGGGCCCTCTGACGGCTCGGGCGCTGTACGATGCCTTCCTGACCATTGTCAGCCCCGACGGGCTCGATGTACTAGCGCGGGACTGGGCGGCCTTCAGCGAGAGCACTATGGTGTTTCTTCCCAAAAAGCCGGTTGGCTCCACAGCGGAGGCCACCGACATCTACGCTGCAGGCACCATGCGGCCTCTCAATATTACGAACACCGACAACAGGATCATATGTAGCGCAGTGCGCTTACATCGAGCCGGCAATTGCCCCAGGCATCTCTGACGCACAGCGCGGTTTCATCCGGGGCAGGTCGATGCTCTCCAACCTTATTGATTTGGAGGAGGAGATGCTGCGCGATTTTCTTATGTACGACGACGCCGCGGTCGTATTCTTCGACTTCGAGGCGGCCTTCCCGAGCGTGTGCCAGGACTTCCTTTTGGATGTGATCAAGTCCCAGGGCTGGCCTCCATGGTGCATTCGTCTGGTCACGGCGCTGTGCATCAACAGCCGCTGCTCCGTCGCGTCTTCGTGGGGCGTCTTCCCGGGCTTCACGCTTACGGCTGGGGTCCGACAGGGATGCCTTTTGTCGCCTCTATTGTTTGCGGTCCTCTCAGATGTTCTCCTGCGGCGTCGCCCACGCCTCCTTTCGACAGCTGTCCCTCGTGCTTTTGCTGACGACTTGGTGGTTGCACTTCCTCGCGGGGTTGAAGACGCGGCAGCTCTTGAGCTGCTTTTCGATGAGTTTTTTTTCCAGATCTCGGAGCTCAAAGTACACCACGGGAAGAGCGTTTGGCTCCCTCTGTCCCTCGACCGTCTGCCCGAGGTCCGTCATCGGCTCGCTTGCGCCGCCCCCTCGTGGGGGGACTGCGCAGTCCGGCGCCGCGCGACCTATCTTGGTTTCGTGGTGGGCCCGGAGCGTGCGGAGCATTCTTGGACGAAAGTTTTGGACAAGTTCTTGAAGAGAGCTGTAGTTTGGAGGAAAATCGGCGGTGGCCTGCGCTTGGCCATCCTTGCATATCGCATCGACATTTTTCCCGTCTTGACGTTCCTCTTGCACTTGAACCGCGCGCCGACGACCTGGCAGGCGATGGAACAGCAGGCGGTTGTTACACTCTTCCCAGGCCCACGCGCGTGGACTACACCAGCCGCGTTGCGGAACCTGACGGCCCTTGGCCTCTCCGTGGATTTACCCGCGGCCGATGACATCGCTTCCGCTGGCAAGTGCAGGGTATATCGGTGGGAGAACTATGGGAATAGTGGCTTACAGATCAGGCAGCGGCTGGCCGACTTTCGCATCATCTACGACAGCGCCGACCGGCTTATGCGCAAAGCACTATGGTGCGATTTGTATGCGCACAATTTCTTCCAGAATCTCCAGGACGCCCACGACAAGCTGCGGCAGGCCGCGCGCGATTCCGGCATGTCCGTCGCCGCTCTTCTACAAGGTGATGCTGCTGAGCCCGTCCCCCGCGCCCGATGGCAACGCAGGTGCGTTGCCGTGTTCCATGCCCCGAGCCCTTCCTGCGCTTTCCCCCCCCTCTCCCGTTCCATGTCTCGCCTCTCGCTCCCCAACGTCCTGCCGGGACACAGTCTGGAGCGGGCCAAAGCTGCCCTGATCGGAATATCGCGACTAGTGCCTCCCCGGGTCTGGGCAGCCGTTTACAGGGCGATCCAGAACGGATGGGTCACCGGCCGCCGCATGCAACGACGCACTGCGTGCCTTTTCGCCTGTGGGTGCGGGGAGGACAGCATGCAACACTACGCGCACTGCCCGCGAATAGCGCGTTTTAGCTGGTCTCGGCTGGGGTTGTGGCAGCCTGCCCCGTCAGGGCGCATTTCCACCTTCCTCCTCTATCCCTTCCTTTCCGCGAGGCCACGGCGCGTGTCCATGCGCGTCGGGCCCTGGCATTGTACGCCGTGTTCGCCGCCACCAGTGCTGCGCGACACGGACGCACGCCCGTCCCTGGACCAAATCGCCAGGGAAGCATGCGCAGTGCATCCTGGATTGGCGGGCACTGTTGCCGCTGCCGGGGCTGGGAGTTGAGCTACTTTCCTCCTCGTCTTTCGTCTCGGTTTGTCGCGTCGTCTTGGGTGTCGCCTTTCATAGATAATTTCCGCACGATCGTGCATGGACGCCGACGCTGTCTGCAGACCAGTATTGTGGCCCCTGTATGGAATTGCCAGGTGGCCCGGTATGTTTTGCGACCGGTCGCCGCACGGCATGCGAGTCCCTCCCCGAATCCGGGGCTATTGCTTGTTTTTCTTCTCCGCCCCCTCCTCTTCACCCTCCTTACTCGTCCTCCGCTTCCTCCTGCCATTCGTAGTTATGTGGCTTTCAAGTCTACGTGGTCGTTCATGGAGCTTGAACCGGTGTGACCGACCAAACCATATGTATGTCCCCGGGACGCCAGAAATTCGCCCAGTGCTTCTGAGCGCGGGAGTCGAAGCTGTGTACAGTATCCGCTGCGTTGAGAGGGGGGGAGAAAACTATAACCCGCACGTGTGGAGGACAATCGTCAGCCGGTACGCCTTTTCTTGAACAGTCCTTGATTTCTGTGCCCAGGTCTGGGCATGCGCCCCCAGCCGGCGGCACTTCTTCAGCCGATGTGTCGTGCAGACACGGCGTCATTGATTGATTGATTGATTGAATGATTGGATCTCTGGGGGGGAGGTTTTCTGACGTGTTCGTCGGCTCTCGGCGGTCTGCCGGCCTCGGGGCTCTCCAGCAGGTGCTTCTCGCCGAGAGGCGTCCTGGGGCGCCCAGGGCGTCCCGAACGGCCGCTGGAAACCCGAACTGTGACCCGAAAGCCTGACGACGAGGGGAGCACCAGGTTGGGCGTCGCGCAATGGGGGGGTCATACATGGGGGGGTGGCGAGGGTGGTCCGAAAAAGGTACCCAAACGGTACCGAAACGAGCCCCCTGGGGCTCCGGAGGGGCCCGAAAAGGGCAGGGAAAGGGGACCGTTTCCGACCCCCCCCTCTATGACCCCCCCACGAAGCCAGGGGGAAAGGCTCAGGAGGGGACGCCTCGACCCCCACTCGCCTATGTGTCGCCGACAGGGGCCCGATGGCCCACCCCGCCCAGAGGAACTTGGGGAATCGCTATCGGGGGCCCATCGCCGGTCTGCCCGCGATGTATCGCCGATTCCACCTCGACGCTTCCCCTCCTGAGCGGGCCCTCCCCTCACCTGACCCAGCGTTGCCCCTCACAGGACAAGCAGCACCGCCCCCACCGCCGCCAGGACGGGCACCGCCTAGCGGGTGAAGAGAATGGTGGGGGCGTTTACGCGGGAGGAGCGGCCAAATTGTAGAGGGCGGGGGCTCGGAGGACAGAACTGCACGCCCTAGCATGAGGCACGTTTGAGTTTGGCACGCTGGGCTCATGCACATGCGCATACGTTGTCTGGTGCTCGAAATTCGATTGGCCTTCCTAGCCTTGTAGATATGCTGGGGTAGTGCTGGCTGAGTCCCAGATGAATGCCCCACTGAAGTTGATGGATGCTTAGGTCATTCTTGGGGCTGGCGTGTCAATTTCGTTTTGCTGTGATGTGCGAGAACATCGTTGGAACGATGACGCGTAACGCAGGGAAGCGATCATCCAGCGCTCAGCAGTTATTGAGCGATCTTCTGCCCACCCCGCCAACACGCCTGGGTCGTGGATCAAAGGCATCTTGGGTGCCTCCCAGGGGCCCTTCAGGAGCCTCTGGGGACTCCTTGAGCGCCTCTTGGGGGCCGGCCGTGAGGGTGAGGGCTCCTGTGGGCTTGCTCGAATTCCCCTTGAAATGAAGCTCCAATCGGTACTCTTGAACCGAAAGGATGAGGATACAAAATCATCCAAGGTCTTTCAGGCTTGTCAGCAAGCCTGCCCTTTGGGGACGAGCCCCAAGGTCCGCCAAGACTGCCCCAGAGACCTTCAGAAGGCCTTCAAGACGGGTCTTCGGCCCCGTTTCGAGTCATTCCCCGAACAGTGCTTCTCTCACTCTTGAGGGAGTTCTCATTTCCATTCTAAGGACCTGGGCCCGTTTGTGAGCCCAGCGGCTTCGTTCCCGTCCGTCGCCGCCGTCGCCCCGTTGCACCCTGCCGCACCCGACCTGCGTTGCACAGCCCCCCCCCTTTCGCAGCGCAGGCTTTGCGTCGCGTTGCCCTGCATCGCTCCGTCTTGCCTGGCACCGCACCACACTGCTCTGCTTACCAGCCTCGAACGTGTCCCTATCCTTAAGATTCACACGCCAAAAGGCGATGACAATCTTAGGGATTCGCCCTCAAAAAATAAGGGAGTCCCTAAGATTGGCATCGTGATGAGGGGGTGCCCAGCATAGGGATAGGGATATGTTCCAGGCTGGTAATCTGCACCGCGCTATACTGTTTTGCGTTCTGCAGCACACAGGTTGCATGCACCACCTGGATTGCACCATGTGGACTGCACCATCCAGATCGCACCACACGGAGTGCAGGCAACCAGGGCTGAACCTGAACTGTGTTTTTCGTTTTCGTTTTGTTTGCGTTTTCCCTCGTTTTGTCTTCAATCCGCCTTGACCGCGCAACGAAGTCGAACCGAAAACGGCCCACGAAAACGCCAAAACTCTGTAGGTTCAGCCCTGCAGGGAACCACTGTCTGGGGCCCGCGCTGGTGTACAGTGAACCCGCATAGTAAGGATGGACAACCTTCCCAAGGGTACCCTTGCATCCTTGCCTCCTCGGCCCATCCTTGGCCGCTTTCGCTGGCCGCGCCCCGCTCGAAAAGCTTCGACATGGGCGTCCAAGGCCCCTTGCATCCTTATCGCGCATCCTTACTACACGGGTTGACTGTACGCCCTCACCGAGTGCGGGTGCCGGCCCACGCCCTCGGGTGCGCGAGCGGGGCGGCAGGGGCACCCACACCGCCGCAGGCGAAGCGCCGCGGGGAGCGGCCGCGCCACCGCCGCCACCGCGCCCCGGCGGCGGGCAAGGAGCGGGCGCCCTCTCGGGGCCGTGTGGCGGGGTCGCGTGGCAGGGCGAGTCTGCACGAGCGAAATGGGCACGGAAAGAATGGGCACAATGCCCAACATCGGGTATAGCCAGAACCCCAGGTAAGGGGACCCGGTTAGTGTTGAGGTTAGTGGTAGGGCCCCGGAGCCCATGAATCGGCCAGAATCACTACACCAGGTTTGCTGTCCGCAGCTGGTGTTTTTTCGGGTGACTGCAGTTCCGGTTAGTGGAACGGGGCGGGGGGGCGTCCCCCAGTTCTCATCACTAAACCAGGTTCCACTAAACCCAGTTCTGCCAACGCCCGACAACAGCAACTCCTGTTCCTTTTGAACAGGACTCGCGGTCCGCGCCGCCGCGGCCTGTGTCCATCTGAGACAGGAGGCCGCCTGCCCAACAGTGGCCGCTGTTGGTTTGGGACAACATTTGTTGTTGGGCGTTGTACTCATTTTTTCCGTACCCATGTCGGGCGTCCAAAGTGAGGGCATGCGATAAGGAACTATTGGATAAGGGATCCAGGATCTGGAAGCCAGTGAAGCTCCAATTGAGGCTTGGTCATGGATATCACCGCCGCCCTCATTAGACAAGGAATCCCCCAGGGTCTGAAGCCTCCTGGGCATAGTCCGTAAGCAACGCTCCCACCGTAGGAGGAGTGGCAGGGGCGGGGGCCAATATATGGTACCAGGCAGGCGGGTAGGCATGCAGGTGGGAGGATGGGCAGGCGAGTACGCAGGCAGATATGCGGGGCACGTGGGCGAGCGGGCACAGGTGAGTGAGCAGCTGGCTGGGTGGGCAGGCGGATAGATATCCAGCCGCCTGCAGTAAGTCCTGCCACCGTGCCATCCCAGAGTTCAGGGTGGCTATGATTCGAGGGAGCACGGATGGCCGTCACGTGCGATGATGAGGATGAGCATGACGAAGAGGAGGTCTTGGGCTCATTTGGGGCAGTCTTGGAGTACCTTGGGGCCGTCTTGGAACCCTCTTTGGCCGTTTTGGGGCCAGGGTCATCTCAATCCGTCTTGGAGCTCTTTTGGTTCCGACGTGTGGCCGTTTTGGCGCCACCTTTGGCAGTCGAAGGGTTTTCTAAGGCCGTCTTGGCTCTTTCCTGAGGCCCTCTCTCTTGGCCCACCTTAGGGCAATATTGGAGGCCTCTTGGGCCATCGTCCAGCTTTGGACCCTCTTTGCGGTCTCTTGGGCCGTCTTGGAAGTTTCTGGGGCCCTCTTGTGCTGACGGAGGTCCCAATGCGAAAGAATGCGAACATTTGGTTTAAACATGTGGCATCCCATGGAGAACCGACGATTTGAATCTACTCGGGCCCTTTTGGGGGTCCTCTTGTGGCCCTGTGGGCCCCCTTGAAGGCATCTTCGGCCGTCTTGAGGCCATCGTGGGCCGCCTTGGGGCCATCTCGGGTCACCTTGGAGCACATTAAGCCAGATTTGGTTGCCTAATTTGCCGACTAGGCCGTTTTGGTTTCTCGTGAGTGCGGACCCATCGTTTGCATGAGGGATTGCGGCTTTGGGAGCGCGGACCCTCAGTTTTCGTACGAGGGATCGTGGCCCCGGGAACGGGAATGTGGCGCTGCAAGGGGGTCGCATACGACAAAAGGGGGGGGGCGGCCTTAGAAACATGTTCAACACTTCCACCAGACAGCACAGGGACTGCCTAACACGCCCCAACGTGCCGTTGGCATGGCTGGTGGCGAATGCAGCTAGGTCCTCTAGGTGGACAGGCTAGCAGTGCCAGTTGCGATGAGGAGGCGGCGGTAGCACTGGGCGCAGTGATCGCAGTGGCAAGTGGGACAGCTGCGCCAGAAGTGAGAGTGTTTTCCCGTGCGCATGCCGCGTGGCTTCCATGATTTTTTAAATAGTAGTAATAATAATAGTCATAATAGTAGTAATAATAATAATAATGATAATAATAACGGGGCGGGCACGATGCTCGTCGCACGTTCATTCCAGCAGCCAAGGTTATAGCGCGCTTGTCGCATTGTCTCACTGCCGATGAACTCTGCCGGCAAAAACACATGTGCCACACCCACGCGGGAGCGAGGCTTTCAGGAAAGCATTGCGCGCCGCATTGGCGACTGCATCGGTACGTGCTTCCGCGCGTGGCCCAGATTAGCAGGCAAAACACATGCGCCTTGCACACTATTGCACGGATAAGCGACAACTACATATCGCTATCTTGCGTGCGACATGCATTGGGCCCATTCTTCTCCAGCAGTTCGCAACGCCCACGACAAAACGTGGACGAACAACATCTTTGTTCACTGATCTCGACCTACAGCGTGAAAGGCTCGGTTTGGCAACCTTTTGGTGCGAAAACGAAGGGGACACGAATACAGAAATGGAGCGTGAGAACGTGATCGGGAGCTGGAGTCCGAAAGAGAGCGGCAGTGGTTCCAGAACAATGTTATGAGCACGGGCAGGCACAAAAGGAGGAGTGCGAGCGCAAGAGGGCGCACGTTGAGGAGTCGAAACTGAAGTTGGGGGAGGAGAAACATGGGCAGGACTAGTGACACGTGCAGAAGGCACGCTTGCAACCCGTTTGCTTTGGTGCTTTCGAATTGTGCTCTTTGGCTGGTTCATCATGCTGTGTGTGAGGATTGTGATGTTCACGTTATTACTTAGGTACTCTATGTGTGATACTCTAATTGCTGACTCCATATGACACTCTTGATAGTTGCGATGTTTGCGATCTTGCCCCTGGTGCTCTACGGGTGGTTCTCTACAGCTGGCACCATCTGATGCATTTAATGGTTTCGGACTTTGAGTTCGCACCCTGGTGTTTCATGCGTGGTGCGCGGTGGCCAGTTCCCTGTGGGACATTTGGCGGTTCTGGTGTCCTCGCACTTGCCTTGGCGCACTTGAGAGAGCATCTCGCAGCTTCAAACGCCTCTTGTTTGGAGCCCATGCTGGCAAACAACGGAATTCGCGTTGTGGTGTCTCCTTCTTGTTCTCGGCCATTTCGGAGTTTGGGGGGTGAGTTCGAAGTGAAACGGAGACCCCCCCAACGGGAAATCGGCTCTGGTGTCGTCTTCGTGTCGCGCGTGCGGGCGAGGCGAAGCTGCGTGGGCGTGCGGGAGAGATGGACCCGCCGTGGTTGGGGCGACAACTGAGCTCAATGACTCTACGCCCCCTGATTGGCCGGCGGTGGCTTGTGGTGTGCCGCTGGTGTCCCGTGGTGTCCCGTGGTGCCCCGCAGAGCGGTGCCTCGCCGGTGTCCCATGGTGTGCCGTGGTGTCCCGTGGCGCGGTGTCCCGTGGTGCCCCGTGAGGTCCATTGTGACATCGATCGTGAGATCGATGGACGAACCGATAGTGAGATCGAAAAAGAGGTCGACTGTAAAATTGATGGGAATGAAACCGATAGGAGAGTGATAGTGAGATCGGTAGGTAGATGGTTGGTGAGATCGATGGATAGAAGGCCAAACATGTGCTCCGAGGTTCCCATCTGGTTCCCGCCGAATAGGATCCGACCTAAATCGCACGCCGACGGCTGAAGCCCCTCCCCAAAAGCCTCCTTACCACCCGACGGATGGTCGTACAGGTAAACACCGGAAGTTCGGGGGCGAGTTCGAAGAATCGGGGACCCCCCGCCAGGGAATCGTTTTCGCGCTCGTGTCGCAGGTGCGGGCGAGGCGAAATGGCGTGGGCGGGCGAGAGGACTGCACCCGCCGTGGTTAGGGCGAGAAGGAGCTCCATGAGTCTGCGACCAGCGGTGGGCCCGCGGTAGCTCGTGGTGTCCCGCGGGTGTCCCGTGGGTGCCCCGTGGCGCGACGTCCCGTGGTTCCCCGTGAGGTCGATTGTGAGATCGATTGCGAGATCGATAGATGGATCGATTGACAAATCGATTGTGAGGTCGTCGATCGAGAGAGATCGACAGATCGATGGAGATCGATAGTGAGATCGGTAGGTAGCTGGAGAGTGAGATCGATAGATAGATGACCAAATATGTGCTCCGTGGTGCCCAATTAGTTTCCGCCGAATCCGATCCGACCCCAATCGGACTCTGAAAGCTGAACCCCCCCCGCACAACCTCCTTATCACCTTTGTTCGTCTTCAGAGGCTCCGCTTCTCCTTCTGCGCCTGTCCCTCCTTACCGTTCTGCCCTCATCTTCGTTGCCGTCATGCTCATGGACTCTTCTCCCCGTTCTCGGCCTCCAAGCCGCCCCCCTCGTCCTCGTCGTCGTCCTCCTGGAGGCCTCCGTGCTCAGGCAAGGGCTGTTTACTACGTGTTCCCGTGGCGTTTTCGGATTAACGCCCTATCCGCAATACATAGTCGCCCAGCCCTCGACATCCCATTGCGAGCTGGGATCTCGGAGAACCATCACGCGCACGAAGCGCGCGTTCTAGCAAATATGTGCGTATGTCTAGTCAAATGTAACGCTCTACGGATGGTTCCACGAACAGCGGTTGCACTAAGTAGTTCGTCCTTGGGACGAAGCGAATCAGAACATTATTGCTGCGAATTTGCGTTCTTGCCCTGGTGTGTGGTGGTCGGTGCTCCTTGGCAGGTGCTACATAATGGGCTGTTCGATGCGATTAGTATTACTCGCCCTAGTGCTCAATGGATGGTGTTTCGGCTGGTTGTCTCTGGTAGTCCGTTTCCTCAGATGTCGCGCTCACGCCGTGGAGCTCAGTGGGTGATGCTCGTTGGTTGGAGCTCTGTGATCGGCAATATGCTGCGACTTCGCGACCTGGCGCCGTGACACTCCATTGGGTGGAGCTCTGTGGTTGGTACTCTCTCGTGGGCCGGTTGCTGCGAGTTCTCGTCTGGGCGTTGGTGCTCCAGGGGTGTTTCTCCACGCCTGGTGGAATATGATTTCAGATGTGCGGCGGTTTCGCGTCTTTGAGTTGGCAATAGCTATGTACGTATGCATTAAAATGTAATTACAGATAGATACACATATATGTGCGCGTGCAAATAACAATTATGCTAATGGAGTTCCCCACAGAAAGACATTAACGGTTTCGTGGGACCCAT